TACTTGGAAGGGACACATACAGAGGAAAGAGCAGACACAAAGGAATGATAGGCAGGRGATAAGTGTGARTAAGAAACATAATCAGCTATGGGATGCCGAGTGGTACAAGAACGAACAGGCTTACGGAGAGCAATAGGAAGATCCAAATCTGAATTGAGTGAGTTAGAATTACCTTGGATTGTAGAGATAGATTGATCGGAGTTCAACTGGTTGCAATCATGAGGTTGAGGGCCCGTCTTCCTTCTACTGTATGTATCTCTTTCTCTTGCCTACTGGAACCTTCAGAAGCATCAGCTGAATCTGGAGAAGTAACTGTCACAGTGGGAGTCTCACTAGGTTGACTCGGAATGTTACAGCTAGGAGTAGTGGAAGGTGATGAAATGGGAACAAAAAAGAAGGGAGAATGAAAATCCTCTTCCAACCCACTAGTCTCCCCCTGAAGAGGATTCTAAGAAGACTAGAAATAGGGTTGAGACTCAAAAAAGACTACATCTCTGGTGACATATTTTTTCTTGGAGACAGGATCATAACACTTATACCCCTTTTGCATAGGAGAGTACCCCAAAAAAATTCCCTTTGTAGCCTTGGGATCCAACTTGGTTTTCTTTGGATCCTTCACATGTATGAAGCATGTACAGCCAAAAACCCGTGGGGAAAGAGGAAACTCTGGAAGAGTGGGACACAAAACAGAGAAAGGAGTATTCATACCCAGTACCTTAGATGGCATCCGATTTATCAGGTATGATGCAGTGAGAACAGCTTGAGACCAATATTGCTTGGGCACATTGTGCTGGAAAAGTAGGGCTCGAGCTGTCTCCAATAGGTGCCTGTTCTTGCGCTCAACAACCCCATTTTGCTGAGGGGTGTAAGCACATGATGATTGGTGTAACATGCCTGCATCTTCCATGAATGAGTTCAGGGATCTTTCAAAGTATTCAGCTGCRTTGTCTGAACGGAATTGCTTAATCTTCTTATCAAACTGTGTTTCAACCATCTTGCAAAACATCATAGTTATCCGTGGAACTTCATCACGTCCTTTTAACAGATAAATCCAGGTGCACTGAGAATAATGGTCAATAAAATTGATAAAGTAACGGAAGCCATCAATGGAAACAATGGGTGAAGGACCCTAAACATCAGAATGAACCAAATCAAAAGGGGCTTGAATTTCATTACTAGAAATTGGATACATTGTTTTGACATTTGACACACATCACAAATTAAACTCTGATTTGGAATGCCCTTACATAATTCGGGAAACAACATTGCTAAAGAAGAAAAAGACAAATGACCTAGCCTAGCATGCCACAGGTGCAGCCTAGCTATTGACTCCACACTTTCCGGAATAGTAGTAGAAGCTTGTAGGGTTGAGCTGATATCCGCATCAAAATAGTAGAGGCCCCCATACTCATGACCACTCCCAATCGTTCTCCTCGTCAATCTGTCCTGGAAGACACAATGAGAAGGAAAAAAAGTTATACTGCAGTTTAAATTTTTTGTAAGCTTTGAAACAGACAATAGATTTGAGGTAAGACTAGGAACATGTAGGACTGATTTAAGAGAGARATCCTTGCTTAGGTCAACCACCCCCTTTCCAGAGATGGTGGAGAGAGACCCATCAGCTACTCTCATCTTATCCTGGCCAGACAACAAATGATATGAAGAGAATAAGGAGGA